GAATTTAATCCAGGTGCTTTGTTCACAGTCCTGAATTAGTAGATATTCCATGTAAAACACTTGTTGGGATCTGCCATCTAGAGCCTTTGATCTTCGAAATCCTTTCTCTGTGTGAGCCTGTTATTAATGCTGGTTATTAAAGATGAGTGCTTTCATAATTCAGTCCAGCTTTCCATCAAAAGGTATAATGTGTGGCCTTCCATTCAGAGTTTCAGTTATGTTACATAATCTTGGTTACACTACAGATTTTCTGGGTCATAAACTGCAGCAATCTGGCACATGTAGTTAAATGGCCTGACTTGTCAAAGCCATCAGCATACCTTAGTCTGTGTTTTTCATGTTCTTTTAGACAATTATTTAAAAAAATATAATTAGTGCTTTTACCCACACTCATCAAAGTGAATACTTGGTGTGCGTTCCTAATGGCTCAAGACACATGGAAGTAGTGAATTGTTTGCTTTGGCTCCTCATACATACAATCCTTGTTCAATTTAAAGCTGAATTTCAGGTGTGGCAAATTTGTATAGCTACATTGTTCCAGCTTAGACCAGTACAAGTACAGTGTGTATGTGCAGGGCTTTAATTCTCAGAGAATAGGTGCAGGAACTCACCCTTTTGAGTCACCCCTTGGTTCTGTCCCCTACCCGCCTCTGAGCACCGTCCCATGGTTCCACCCCCTACCCACCTCCCAGCAAAGCCACTTTTAGAGAATACAGAACCAAGTATCATTTTGTGGTGCTAAATAATTTGCATTGAATTTGTTAATGATAATAGATCCCCTACAGCTAGCAACATTCACCCCCTTTCAACGATAGATCCCACCAGCAACAATAAACCCCTGCCAGCAACAATAGATCCACCCTAGGAACAATAGACCCCCAGCAAAAAAATACCTCCCCAGCAAAAATAAACCCCTGCCAGCAACAATAGATCCACCCAGCAACAATAGACCCCTGCCAGCAACAATAGATCTTCCAGCAGCCAGCATCCACAGACTCTCCAGCAGCCAACAACAATAGACCCTCCCTCAACAGCAGATCCCTCCCACTAACAATTGACCCCACCCAGAGCAACAATAGATCCTCCAGCACACCTCAACAATCCTTGCCAATACAAACATTCAGTGTTAGAGGTGCAGGAATACTAATGGAATCCCTGTGGAAGCTGTCAATCACTACAATAGACACCGCTACTACAGAGATCGCCACTAACTTCTAAGTCTTGTGATAGGTGGCTGCCCTACTGCATTGTGAACACAGGAGGGCGCTTGCTTGGCATGGCCACCAATCAGAGAACACTTTACATTTTCTCAGTGAATGCAAAGTGTTCTCTGACTGGATGAGGCGGAGATCGCTTAAAGTAGAAATGTCTACTACAGCCATTTCCAGCTTCCATGGGAATAGGTATGGCCACAGGTATGGCACATACATACTGACATTCTTACATTGTGACTCTGTAAAAATTGCCATACCTGGAATTCAGCTTAAAACATACGTTCGACTCGAACATTGGATGTTCGTGTGTTTGCTGAACACATGAACATCTGGGGTGTTCGGCAGGCCGTTCGCCTGCACACCCAACAATGCAATGCGCTCTGGAGGTGCATTGTAATTGGCCAAAGTATTGCACCTGACCACAGGTCAGGTGCAATGCTTTGGCCAATCACAGCTGAGTTCACAATAGGAGCCATGATTGGCCAAAGAGAACAGGGTGCTCAGAGCAGACTCGAGAACTGAACGATCAGTGGCATTTGATCTTTCAGTTCTTGGTGTAGAGCTGGTGGGGGACAGCTGTCACATCACATCTATGATGCATCTACATAGGTGAATATATATGCTTTTTTTTAACCCACATTTATCTTTTAATTCTGCTCTACTACTAGTTTTTTTTTTAAAATATAGATCAAGTGACCGGGTTTCTCCTAGGGTCACCATGCACATTACAATCTGCCCATACAATCTTTGTACAATCAACTTTTGATTTACTAAAACTATGCAATATTAGGTCCTACCTAATCCAAGCAGTCAATTTGTATCCAAGCAGGCAGTGCCTTGCACTACATAGATGACAGAAGCTCCAAAGAAAATTAACCAATCGAACTGAAATGTGTATGGTGACACTTAGGCCTCATTCACATGGGACTTTAGTGCCAGTTGTGGCAAGAATCCAACATATTCCTGTGGCTGGATTAATAGGTGGCAGTTGCGGTCTCTCAGCCGGTTCAAAGGAATGACAGGTTGACAGTTTCCACAATTGTTCATGGGTGTTTGTATGTGATCACACATGGAGTGATTACCTGTGGTTAGGGACAGATGAGCACCCCTGGATGCAAACAACGTATGAATAGAAGCTGTTTGTATTCAGGGGTGATCAGCTTAGGTTCATACCTGAGCAGTTTCCAATGGAACAATGCTCCTCTGTACCCCATGGAAAGCTCACTACACAGGCAATTCCTATTTATTCCTGGTGCTGTAGTTCACATCACTGCAGTGCATCAAAAAAAAAAGAAAAATGTCTTGCTGCATTTTTTCAGTGATATCATGTGTTGCCAAACTCAAAGCATGAATGGTAACAGACTAAAAAGCCTGAGTCATGCATTTTTAACATAACTGAACAATGGAAATGTCACTACTGTATTTTTTTAAGAAGAAAAACAAAGAACATGCAACATAAGGCATGGAAACCAAACATAATATTATGGAAAACTGCAGGTATAATACATCTGAAAACTGGACTAAAATATAATACATGAATGTGAATGAGGCTCAACCAGGGGCGGACTGACCATTCAGGCACTTGGGCACTGGTCAGTAGGCGGCAACATGAGATGTCCCTGGTACCTTTCATAAGCTTTTTTGGGTGTGGTTTGAGTGTGGGCGAGGGCACAGGGTGCCCCATGATCCCCTATTGCCCGGGGGCCCCATGAGTTGTCAGTCCGCCCCTGGGCCCAACACTGCTCTCTGCACCTAACGTAAGGATTAGGCCTCCTTCACACAGCTGTTTTGCCATATACACCAGACTCCAGCGGCAAGAACCAGTGCATTTTTGCGGCTCTAATGACAGGTGCACGGGAATAGCCAGCAGTTGCATGTAGCCACACACCAAGTGGTTACCTGTGGTTAGAGACAGATGTCCAAGACTGGCCACAATTGACTGTGTCCAGGCTCAGACATCAGTCTCTATCCGTGGGTAACCCCATGGTGTACAGCTACATGCGAACAGCGGCAGCCGCTGTCAGTCTGTCACTAATTTATACCGGATGAGCAGCTGCCGCTATTCGCATTCACCTGTCATTCCAGCAGCAAGAGTCCACTGATTCTTGCTACTGGAGTCTGGTGTTTGCAGCCGTCTGAAGGAGGCCAAAGAGCTTAACTCCAGCCAAAATGTTTATTTTAGTTTCGTAAGCAAGGCGAAGACCCTCTTTCAGTTTTTTTTTTTGCAGTTGTGTCCCCAACTGAGAGATTTCTACTACTTCCTGTTAAATTTACAGTCTGTGTCCCCATATACCACAAACTGGGGCTGAAGTTGTTTGAGTGGAGGGAGTACTTTGTCGTTATTTTTCTGGACATACTGTAAACCGCGAACCCTCTCTCCCATGGTCATTGACCAAATATACCTACCATAGAAGACTTACAGAGTGGATGTTAGTCATTAGGTTGCTGCTGGTGGGTTGGTGGGTGTCTCGGGGTAGTAGTAAGTCAGTGCATCAAGGAAGACCCCAAGAATCCAACGGCTTCTTTTGGGTTGAGCACTCCATTACCATATTATTGCTGAAAGGACATGGTCATCTTTTACCACTTGCCCTCCAGAGGATTTACCCCCCTTCCTGACCAGACCATTTTTTTGCGATACAGCTCTGCGTTATTTTAACTGCCAATTGCGCTGTCATGCAGCACTGCACCAAAATGCAATCTAAGTTCTTTTTTTCCTATGAATTGAGCTTTCTTTCTGTGGTATTGGATCACCTGTGCTGTTTCTATTTTTTGCACTGAAAAGAAAAAAAAGACTGACAATTTTGAGAAAAAAAAAACAATATTTTAGACTTTTTGCTGTTAAACATGTCTAGCAAAAAAATGTAAAAAAAAATCTAATTTCGTCATAAATATAGGCCAAAATGTATTCTGCTATATGTCTTTTGCTAAAAAAAATGACAATACTTGTAAATTAATTGGTCTACGTGAAAGTGATAGTGTCTACAAATGGCGGTATATATACTGGAATTTGTTTTTATACTAGTAATGGCGGCGATCATCTACTTATTGCGGGACTGCGGTGGGCATTCTGACACTGGGGTGGGGGACTGACTGTCACTGACACCCCTAGTGACACTAATACAGTGATCAGTACTAATAAAAAGCACTAACACTGTACTAATGGCACTGGGCAGGAAGAGGCAGGAAGAGGTTAGCATCTGGGGTGATCAAATGGTTAACTGTGTGCTGTAGTTTACTATGTAAACACACTGCTTTGTATGGCTATGCTATGCAGAGTAATACAAAGCAGTGTGCTGGAGCTGACAAAGGAGAGATCTGTATTGTTTACATACAGACCTCTCTGCCCTCAGTGATACTCAGCGATTGCCAGGTGCCAGCGGGGAATCACCGGCCGGGACCCGGTGATCAACAGCTGAAGCCGACCCTACCTGGAAATGCAAAATCACGTATATATACGTGATTTTGTGCTGCCCTGCTGCCCTGTAGAAGTATTTCTGCTACAGGGCGGCGGGCAAATGGTTAAACAAAAATTCCCTCAGCCCCCGTCTCTTGCCCCTTGATATACTAACCGATGCCAACCCCTTTTCTCTACCCAACCGCAGGTCCATACTTACCTCCTTCGACAACTGCAGTTTCCTGCACTGCCTGCAGCCTGCTTGGTTTTAGACTAGGTTCACACCATGCAGGTGCCATGGCACAAGCACACATTTCCACACGTCGTGGGTAGGGCAGTCCATTAATTTCAGTGGGCTGACCTCTGTGTGAGAAACATGAAAAAGAAGTCCGTAGCCTCCCTGGCAGTATTCCCGAATGTAGCTCGGGGTAAAGTTTCAGTACCACAAGCGGTATCCTCGATCTCCACTCGGGCTTACCATGCGGCACTGCTCCAGGATCTGTTCTTCTCTTACCTTGTCCTGCGCTCCTGCGATGTCCCTCCTGCAGTGTCTCCAGCAATGTAATCCGGTGGATGCCGGCATCTGTCATCTGGGTTCCATCCCCTGCGACGTCGGGACGTACGGGGACAGAACGACGGAAAATTTGAAAATGACAAAAAGAGAAATTCACTAAATTCACTAAAATCACATAGTATTCCATTCCTGTATCAAACCATTTCACATACATTTTGTCCCGAGTGCTTTGTCCTGTGCCCTGCCTGCATTTTTACTGTTCTTGCTGCCTGGAAACTGAGAAATGACCATGGCGTCCAAAAAGCGTCCCTTTAGCTCAAAATTGGTTTTAGACCAGCTAGAGAACAGCGATAGTAAATCAGAACTACTTGCAGAATTGAGTGATAATGATTCGTGGGGAAATTCGTCATCAGACACTGAAAACGATTCTGCAACTTTGCTCAGTGATGTGCGAACTTGGCGCTCTATTTCAAATTTCAGTGTTTTTGGTTTGATTATATTATTGAATTAAATTTATTATTATATTATTATTTTTTATGATTATTTATTAAATTATAATTTATGATTTCGTTTTTCAAATTTTATCCTACCCAGGATGTTTACTAGACTCTTGTTCGGACAGATTTCAGTGAGTTATTCCTACAAATTACAGGCCTACAATAAAAAAAAATACACATTTCCTTGCAAAAAAATGTACCGCTTTGAGCACAGAAATATGGACATAATCAGACCGCTAGGGAGGTTAATCCGTTTCCAAAATGGCAGTGCACTAAACTGCATCCTGTGGCACCTTGCAGTTTGCTGAGTGTGAAAACATGGGCGTTAGCACATGCAGAGGGGTGCCACTAACAAATAATGTCACCGCCACATGTGTACTAAAGAAATGCGTGTTTCCTGGGGTGTCAGGAAAGCACTGAATTATGCACATTTCAGACATAAAAGTAAACTGTGTGTCTCTGACTAAAGTTGAATAGTGCCCTTGCTATAGGTGACGGCCATTTACGTACCTCACGAAGCCTGACTAGAAATCTCCCAGGACGTTGATAAGTGAGGCCTACATGTTACTGCTCACTTCCACCATCACAGGAGTGAGTTGTCATACGCTGAGCTCAGAGATGCTGTATCAGAGGAGAGACAGAGCATGTGAGGGGGGACTGAATGAGAGAAAACACTGGCTCCTGTGATGGTGGAGAGGTGAGCAGTAATGACTAGGTCTCACTTAGTAACGTCCTGGGAGTATTCCAGTCAGGCTTCAGGAAGTACGTAAATGGCCTACACCTATAGAATTGTTATATACATTGTTCACTGTAGTCTGAGACACACAGGGGTTGATTTACTAAAGACAAATAAGCTGTGCACTGTGAGTGCCCTCCAAGCACACTTAGAAGTACACTGCAAGTGCAGTTGTTCTAGAACTGAGAGGAACATGCAATGAAAATAAAAAAACAGCAGTTCTTCTTGCACATGATTGGATGAAAGAAATCAGCAGAGCTTCACCTCATTTCAGAGCTTCCCCTTGGATATAAAGCAACTGCACTTCCAGTGCACAGACTGTTTTCCTTTAGTAAATCAACCCCACAGTTAGTTTTTTATCCACAGACCTGCATAGGCAATTCTTTGGTGAAAGTGAACTTTCCCTTTGAGAGAGAATTCCCCTCCTTTGGGGGGATTTCCACTAACTTCCTATTGCGTCTCTGGGACAGGAATTGAAGGGAAATTTCCACAGACAGCAAAAAACCTGGCTCCGTTCCCAACTCTATCCAAAACTGCAAAACATAAAGTTTTGGTTTTAAATATGTCTGAACGGGACGGACTTTTGTCTTTTTTTTTCAGCCAGACTATGTAACTATGTAAAATACACTTTAATATGAGTACAACAATTGGCTAAATCCACACACGTGCTTTTATTACTATTTTTCTTTTAGACTTTCAAAAGAAGAAATTGGTTTGGGATGGAGGAAGATACATTGTATATTTTACTGAGGTCCAGGGCAGGACTGGGAGTGTGTACAGCTGGCAGCATATCACAGAACACTTCCATGCACAATTCCCTCACAGCTCAGCGTCTGCCGCCTCTCCCCTCAGTCTACCTGCTGCCGCTCGGCGCGTGACGTCACGCCTCATTATGTTAATGTATTCTGAGCTCACCCAGCGGCCCACCAATGAGGGCTGAGCGAGCTGCCCACCTGCCAGGAAGAGAATTCCATCATTCCTCGCATTCCTACTGCGGCGCTGTGTGAGCAACTTTACCGGGGTCCCCCGCCACCCCCCTCCGCCCCCTAATCGGTGACCCCGCGTCCCTTCTATTAACGCTGGGAGAGGACTGCCCGGCCGCCCCTGGATGATCTCACCTACCTCGGAGCGGTACCGGGCTACTCCACCTACAGCTGAAATCTGATCGGCTCCACCCTCATCAGTAGATCGGGCACGTTGGATTTCTACAAACTTGCTGCTCTGGTGAGTTCTGTGCCGGACTGTGTGTATGGGGACATCTGTATACTGATTGTATAGGATCACATCTACTGTGTGTGGACTGATCGTGACACTACAGTGGAGGGGATTTACCCACACTGTGCATAGCAACCAATCAGATTATGGCTTTTCTTTTCAAAGCTTAGCTAAACCAAGCTGAAGCCAGAAGCTGATTGGTTGTCATGCACAGCTGCTCCAGTTTTGACAACCCCCAGCCCCCCCCATATTCTGTGTGATTATCTCTGTACAGTGCCCCTTGTACACATTGTGCCATCATCTCCCTGTGTACAGTGCCATGTGTGTACAGTGTACTGATTGTAGGATTACACATTGTGCCATCATCTCCCTGTGTATAGTCCCATGTGTGACGATGGGTGTACAATTCCTGCTGTGTACTGATTGTAGGATTACACATTGTGCCATCATCTCCCTGTGTATAGTGTGATGATGTGTGTACATGTGCTGTGTACTGATTGTAGGATTACACATTGTGCCATCATCTCCCTGTGTATAGTGCCATGTGTGTACAGTGTACTGATTGTAGGATTACACATTGTGCCATCATCTCCCTGTGTATAGTGCCATGTGTGTACAGTGTACTGATTGATGGGTTACACATTGTGCCATCATTTCCCTGTGTATAGTGTGATGATGGGTGTACAGTGCCCGCTGTGTACTGATTGTACAGATGACAGTGTGCTCATTGTGCTGTGATGTTCTGTTTCTGGAGGTCACCCTCCCTGTACACTGTGAGATCCTCTTTGTCTCCTCCAGTGATCAGTCATGGTGCATGATCCGCCAGAGCTGCCGTCAGATCACCCGCCGTCTGCAATAATCTATACACAGATATGACAGTAAATGGCACTGAGGAGCTGCTGATCCTTGGCCGGGATCCATAGTCCGCACTGACATCAACATTTCTTCTGTCCCGGCACCTTTGTGTAAGATCTGCAGGACCTCCAGTCTGAGATAACATAAATGTAATTTATCAATGGGAAACCTGAGCCTGGGAACGTGTACTACCACTGCGGAGAAATAAACTGTACTGCAAAGTCCCCCTCCATGTCAGAGTCCCCGTTCTAAATGAGACCCCCCACCTCTCCATCACATGAGAGCCACACTATTACACCACAGTCCATTCTATACAGGAAAGCCTCCCCATTCCATATCCCCCCCCCCCCCCCATACAAGAAAGCTCTCATCACATCGGTCTCTCCCCATCCCGTCAGAGTCTTGTCTATAGATATGAGTCCCCACCCCATTATCCCAGTCTGCCCATCATGTCAGAAGTTTTTCCTTCACTACAGAGCTGCCCCCCCCCCCCATCATATCCGTGTCACCTACATCATATCAGAGGTCCCCCCCCTTATACATGAGAGCCCCCTCCATCACATCAAAAGTACCCCCTTATACATGAGAGCCCCCTCCATCACATCAGAGGTCCCCCCGTATACATGAGAGCCCCCTCCATCACATCGGAGGTCCCCCCATATACATGAGAGCCCCCTCCATCACATCAGAGGTCCCCCCGTATACATGAGAGCCCCCTCCATCACATCGGAGGTCCCCCCGTATACATGAGAGCCCCCTCCATCACTTCAGAGGTCCCCCCTATACATGAGAGCCCCCTCCATCACATCAGAGGTCCCCCCTTATACATGAGAGCCCCCTCCATCACTTCAGAGGTCCCCCCTATGCATGAGAGCCCCTGATTGCATTGGGGTCCCCCCTGTACACGAGAGCTCCAGATCACATCAGCATGCTTCATCACAAAGTCCTTTCCTCAATCTCTGATCCGGAGACAACGTGGGTCTTGTGGTCCTGGGAGATCCCATATGTGGGGGGCCCCGTGGTTGAGAAGCACTGGTCTACTGCTGTCAGGTCTACTTTGTATGTATAGAGACACTCATCCACAAACAGATTTTTGGTGTAGAAAAAAATCCCTAAACTCTCCCTGGAATTTGCCAGGAAATGATTTCCTATGGGTGAGGCAGTGGTCAGGTAGGTCAGTATGTGTTAATCTGGACCCCAGAAAATGAATGTCATTTCTAACATTCGTCCTATCTCCATTGATTGGCATAGGCTGGCCATGGATGTATAGATCTCTCTCGATGAATGAGCTGAATCAAGAACGAGAGAAATCCGATACTTCCATACACACTGAACATCCAGGCTGGAGGATTCTCCCCCAACAGTGTATTGTAGTCAACAGCCGGCACCTGCAGCTGTCAGAATATCAGAACAGGGTCTACATCTGGTGTTACTTTGTGACATTATAATAAAGGTCGAGAAGAAACTGATGTGTTGTGACAGCGCAATGCACCACCCTTATACAATGGGGAGAGTTACTAAAGCTGGTGCACATCGAATGTAGTGCAGCCGTGCCTAGTAACCAATCAGCTTCCAGGTTTTATTGTCAAAGCTTAAGGCTAGGTTCACATCTGTGCGGGTGGTGCCGCTGCGGATCCACACGAAAATCTGCGCAACCGCACCACTCACACAGAGAAATGGGGGACCCACGGGCGGGTGCCATTAAATCTAATGGCATGCCACCCGCACTGGAAAACGCAACCGTACTGGGAACCGAGGTTCCCATGTGGGCTACGTATTCCAAAGAAGTGCAGGGACTTCTCTGCGTGTCATAGGACACGGGAGTCCATTCAAATGAATGGGCTCTTGTGCCCTCGCAAAACATGGCCCGCACAGCCGCATATATGTGAACCGGGGTTTGCTGAACAAGCT